AACTTATAGAAAATTGTGACCAGATAGTGTACTTTAACAATTTAACTTTTGTCCAGCTCCGGAAAGCTTTTACAGAGCTAAGAATGTACATGACGGACTCAATGTATAGATCTGGAAAGCATAGATGTATTCCAATAAAAGAACACACTTGTATATATGGTTGCTCAGATATAGAGGACCTTGTTCATTATATACTGTTTTGCCCACTTTATGAAGATCCCAGGGAACGATTTTTGTCATCTTTAATTGTATCCATTTCTAGTCAATGTCCACAAGAAGTAGTTCTTCATCTCCTCATGGACTCTGACACATATGTGTCCTGGAAAGTGACTTTATTTGCCTTACTAGCAACAAAAATTAGGAGGAAATTTATATCTGAAATAGCTATTAGCTGTAAGAGTGACGATTATATATAACAACGGTATCAGAGATATAATGGTAATTTTAACTGTTAATTTCAAAATGTTTTTGTACTTTGTTATGAGCAAAATTTGTGCATATTTTATATGTTTCTTGTACATATGCATTGTAATTCTATGCAAAGACCTTTGGTCCAATGCAATAAACTTGACTTAGCATTACATTACACACTCAAGCCACTGCGCCACACTGATTCTCAGTATTGTTTACTAATTACTTTTTAATCTCATTTCCTCCATGAAACTGTGTTACATTTTGCTCTCACCACAAGCCTGTAAGACAGGTAAAAGTCCAGACATTGTGATTTGCCTAAACCGTAAGGGCCATGCACTGATTTGCACAACTGAGTAGGAACTCAAAGCTAACTGTATGACATGTGTGCACATAACCTTAAAGTGGTAACTCTGGTTTATTAATCCAGAATGTGAATGAGCTGTCTGCTGGTCACACTTCCCTTCGAATAAGCAAGGAAAAAAACCAAGCAAGGATGGTCCAGCATGATGCCCAAACTGAGATTATGGCACAATTTTAAACTTAGAAACTGTGGCTTGTTGGCCAGAAAAAGGTATAATTCCAGGTGACAATAACACTACATTAGTTTTGGCTTATTTGTTTGTTGCTTATGCTAAGGGAGAAACAAGTGTGAATAAATAGATTCCATGGGTAAGAAAGTGTAATTCACATAATGGTTTAAACTGGGATTTGGGGTTTATCATTGCATGAAACATGACCAGCGTCAAAGTAGACATAATGCAAGTGGAGATGGGGCCATGCAAAAGTATCCATAGTGATACATACTGCTACTGTATATCGGTCCCCCTTCATGCTGATCTTCATGAAAGCTCTAGAACAGAAACTGACCCCCTCAGCAGACGAGGGCGTCCAGGACGCCCTGCGCCGGCACGCCGCGGGGCCGCAGCCTCCGCATCTCGGCGCACCGGCGGCGTCCCTGGAAGGAGCGCTAAATCAGCGCTCCTTCCTCAAGACAGCGAAAGTGCGCCCTAAAAGCGGCGGGCGCACTTTCGCTGTCTTATCCTCCGCAGCGCGTCCGGTCGCTGCGGAGGGAGGTTGCCCCGGAAGCGCCGGACGTGCGGAGGGCCGGCAGCTTCCGGGGCGACCTCAGGAAGAGGAAGGGGCGCCGAACGTGCGGCTGCCCCTCCTCTTCCGGGCCCGGAAGACGACCCAATTAGTTGTCTGCCGAGGCCCTAAGTGCCCATTCACACTACAGAATTACAGCATTATTATTCCCCCTTAACTGCCATGGGTCCATGCCATGAACTCCTGGGATTTGAAGTTCAGTGAGGCACTAGAGGAGCTCTCTGGCTGAGAATTCTTAATGCTCCTCCATAAACTGCTAACCCCAGGTTTTCATAAGATGGAACCATAGCAGTTAGAGTGGAATAATAGGGCTATAACTCTGTAGTGTGAATGGGCCTTAGATGTGCAGAGCATTGATTTCCTGGTGGCTGGCAATATCTCAGATTCACTACCTTCCCTGCCTCATCCCTGTAACTTCGTTTCTCTTTCTAAAAATAAAGTGGTGAATGAACTTTCACATATCTGGACATGTAAGTGGGACTTTGAAAACATTTGAAGAACAATCCACTTCAAGCGGTGGGGGAATGGTACAAATTACTTTTAAAAACAACAATATTCAACCAGTTTTCAAGACCTTAATGTAGAAGGCATGAAGGAAACAAGCTCGTTCCATGGCATGAAAAAATCAGGGCACTACTTAAAGGTCCACTTGTTGGCACTGGAGGAGTGTCTCAGCTTAATGACAGAACCTGTTCCATTTTACCTTCCCATACACAGGTTCCCTTGGTCCTGAAAAGAGCATCCTTTCTCAGAGTAGAGCTTCTTGGTTTTCTATACCTTCACTCTCAGTTCTTTACCAGCACCAGCCTTGTTTCACTAAAACAGAACCAAAATGCACTTCTGGGGGAAAAAAAGGAAGAGCCATAGATGGCAGGGCTTAAATGATTTAAGCTGAAACTCTGCAAGTATCTATCACTGAGCCTATTCATATTTAAAACAAGTCTTTGTGTCATAGGGGACTTCCTCAAGCTGGGTATACTGATAAAGAAAAAGAAGAGATGCTTCTATCCCACAGGGAATCTATCTCCACTATCCCAGATGTCTACAGGGGAGGAATGAGTGATTTACCAAAGGCTACAAAAATACTGTATACACTCATATATAAATCTAGAATTTTTTTGTCAAAAAATTGACCCCAAAAATCTAATTGACTTATCCATGGGTCAATGTAATTACTATAGTTTAACTCTCATTAAAAAGGGAACCATCCCCTGCTGAAAGGCGAGAGTGCAATCTGTCCTGGAAGCATTGGCCTCCCTCTACTCTCTCTTCCATCCAGCCTTTAGTGTGAGCCAAAACAGTTATGCCTGCCAGAATTTTGTAGGTTCTTTGGCATTGTTTTCCTTTGCTTCATCATTTAGATCCTTTGTTGCATGTCAATAAGATTTGCCCTTGACCTAGAATCATAGAGTTGGAAGAGACCACAAGGGCCATCCAGTCCAACCCCCTGCCATGCAGGAACTCAAAATCAAAGCATCCCCAGCAGATGGTCATCCAGCCTCTGTTTAAAGACCTCCAAAGAAGGAGATTCCAGCATCCTCTGAGGGAGTGTGTTCTACTCTCAAACAGCTCTCACTGTCAGGAAGTTCCTCCTAATGTTGAAGTGGAATCTCTTTTCCTGTAACTTGCATCCATTGTTCTGGGTCCTAGTCTCTGGAGCAGCAGAAAACAAGCTAGCTCCCTCCTCAGTATGACATCCCTTCAAATATTTAAATAGGGCTATCATATCCCTTCTTAAGCATCTCTTCTCCAGGCTAAACATACCCACTTCCCTAAATCATTCTTCATAGGGCATAGTTTCCAGACCCTTCACCATTTTAGTCGCCCTCCTCTGGACACACTCCAGTTTTTCAACATTCTTTTTGAATTGTGGTGCCCAGAATTGCTCTATTCCAGGTGAGGCCTAACCAAAGCAGAATACAGTGGCACTATTACTTCCCTTGATCTAGACACTATACTTCTATTGATGCAGTCTAATATTGCATTGGCCTTTTTAGCTGCCTCATCACACTGTTGACTCATATTCAACTTGTGGTCTACTAGGACTCCTAGATCCCTTTCACACGTTAAGCCAGGTGTCAGCCATATTATATCTATGCATTTCAATTTTTTTGCCATAAGTGCAGTACCTTACATTTCTCTGTGTTGAAATTCATTTTGTTAGCTTTGGCCCAGCTTTCTAATCTATTAAGGTCATTGTGAATTTTCATCTTGTCTTCTGGGGTATTAGCTATTCCTCCTAATTTGGTGTTGTCTGCAAATTTGAGATGCATGCCCCCTATTCCTTCATCCAAGTCATTGATAAAGATGTTGAAGAGCACTGGGCCCAGGACAGAACCCTGTGGCACCCCACTGGTCACTTCTCTCCAGGATGAAGAGGAGCCATTGCTGAGCACTCTTTGGGTTTGGCCAGTCAACCAATTACTAATCCACCTAACAGTTGTATTGTCTAGGCCACATTTTACTATCTTATCCAATGGTCATATCAAAATCCATAATTTTTCCCTCAAAACCTGCCCTTGACTGAGGTTGACTTATAGTTAAGTATATACAGTAATCTGTGACAAAGGATGAACCAAAATTTCTGCATAATTCTGCATGGAATCACAGAAAGCTCTGTGTAATTTCACAGAGAGGAATTATGCTTTTGCACCTCAAGTCTGAGATGACAATCAGAAATGATGTAGGTTGTTTGTGCCATGCCTCTCAGATGAGGAAGAAGTATGGATGGCAGTCCAGAGATCAGATTCCAAGCTTATCTTCAGCACTAGCAATTTCAGTTCTGAGCTTTGCCCTCTAGTTTACCATCAGGTTTTATTCTGAGCTCTGGATTGCAATGGAAACTACGTCATGATTTAGAATTACAGATTCGTCGTGATACAGTGGCTGATGATAACATTGCCATCATCAAAGGAACAGGTTGAGACTTATTCCTAAACAGGGTGAGTATAGTTTTCTCTGTGTTGTAGCAACATACCTGCACCATATCCAAGAAGGGTTTCCTTGCCCTCACCTCTCCTCTGTTATAGCAGTTGGACATTTTGTATCTGTGTGATAGAATTAAATTGATGAAGCAATGCAGTGTTAGC